TGGGGGGAGCCAACATGGGGTTGAATTACGCTGGGATGGGTAGCAGAGATGCAAGGGCTGGAACTGGGTACAGGTATCCAGCTGGATACGGATACATGACCGGAACCAAGGCAGTGTTGCATGACACTGGAGTTGGAATGGGTAGCGGAGACACCGGAGTGGGTCCTTTTGCTTTGACTGCCTAGAGTGGCATTCAGCTGAGTTGTGTTTAGTGAGTCTGTTTTTATGTCGGTTGTTTCTGCTTTTATCACGAAGATTTATTTCTCTGTATGACAACATTCAAACTGAGGGAGCTTGAAACAATTTAAAAAAAAAAAAAGATGTTTCCCTTGAATAAACCTGTAGAAAAGAGTACAAGACATTTGCCACCAGCAGAATGTTCCTACAGATGYATGCAAAAGAGGAGAAAATAAAAGTAATAAAACAAAGAAGGCATAACTCTTAAAGCACCATTCATGGTGCATCCAGCTCGTGTGATAATGATTGGTGCAAAGGAAAGAATTGGTTGGTTTGGTCCTATAATTGGATGGAATATTCAGATTCCTGTCTCAAGGATTGTTAGGGCTTGAATCTCGTACTTCGGATTGTTCTCATCATGGGTTTCAAGGAAGTTCACCAGATCAGCTTCCTCCAGAACACAAAAGCCTCCATAATCACTCCTGTGCTCAGAACGGATTACTTCGCTAGTATGGTTTTAAACTGGATGTTAGGCTTGGGCTAGTTATGAACCAGATTATGAGCTTGGGCATGAGTCAGAAAGTTGTCAGCTTAGAGCAAGACCACATGATTTGGACCATATGCTCCTTCATTCACTAACTAAATCTTCCCACAAGTTTTTTAAAATGACAAGGTTGAATACTTGAAGAGATAGTCATGCAGAATCCARTACGGTTGAAAAAATTACGTAATAGAATGTCTGCCACCGGTAAGAAAGTCCCCCAGTCATGGCACCATACAAATAAACAATCAAAGTTTCAGATTRAAGGGCATGCTAAAAGTAGGCCCACTATGATGACCCTTGCATGCAGAGAGGGCAATACATCTACATTTTTATATTCTTTTATCTATAACAATCACAAGAATGCATTAGTATCAAGGTACAGAAGGCAAACAGAACTTCTGCCACAGTTTTAAAAGCAAGAACAACAAATAAAGCACAAAGGACTCCTAATGCCTGAGATGCAAAGCAAGAGGGACATGCCGACAACAACTGAGGCACACATTATAAAAAAGAAAGCAAAAGAAAAACTTAGGGAGTGTCTCCAACATAATTTTTTTTGTATTCCTTGTTTTTAGGAAATGCCATGTCAGCAAAAAAACAGAAACATATTCTTGGATGTACATTCTTTCAAAAATAAAGTGAAAACATTTTCAGTTTGATTTAGAAAAATAGTTGTATTTGAAGGCCATCTTGGGAGGGGCACATCGGATATTGACCTAACCTTTGGTTTTTTTTCCTTTTTCTTTTGGGACAAAGTGGCCACTCTCAGACTCAAACCCATTCTCATGCTTGTCAACCTGAGATTTTACCATTMGGCCAAACAATGGATCCTACAAAAATAATATTTTTGAAACAAAATACAAATGCTTTTAACTACAAAAATATGTTCACTTCCCTAACACTGATGTGTGCTACTATTTAGTGCAGTATACAGACCAAAATCTCCCATAGACCCTCTTACAAGTGCTGGTACAAAGCTTCTACCATTCATACCAACCCACATTCAAATGGATTTGGGGCCAGAACATCAATGAAATTAACAGATAAAAATAAGAAAGGTGAGTGGATATCCATTCAATCAGAGTCTCTATCTGGTATTCTTTATGAAGCATAATAGCAATCTATATGGGGAAAACTTGTTTGTGAAACCAGAAATTCAAGAAACACAATTGTTGTTTCAATGTGGAAAACATGAAATAAACTACACCAATAACATATTTGCTAACAAGTGCCAAAGACAGTTCACATTGAAAAACACCTTAATATACAGAACATGCAAATCTAAATTCTGAAAAAAAAAATACCATCATCAAGCCTTATCCCAATTAGTTGGTTAAATGAATCCCATTTCACSATTCCATTCTGTTTAGTTCCATATTCATTGATAAATTATGGGCAATTAAATCATTTCTGAAAAAAAAAACTACTTAAACTGGTTGGAATATCATGTTATAAACACTAAAGTTACAACCCTGTATGTGCAAATCCTACATGGGCTCAACTTTTCAAAATCTGGGCATCACAGGCACATCCTAGAATATAGTAATTATATATTCAACATCAGATTAAAGGTTAATTCTTCAAAATATGGAAACAAACCAGGTAAAGCACACCTGAGTTCAGGAAAGGCAAACCCCACAAAATGAGCCTCACCTATTAGTGTAAGCAAAAAGGCATGCCTTTTAAAACATTGATCTAGAAAGTCCCTGAAAATGGCTTAACTAAAGACAACTAAAAGGAGGTTACAACAAGAAAAAAGAACTATACAACCATCATGCCAACATAATGAAATGATACCCAAGAGGACGTCCCCCAACATAAGAGGGATGAAACTAAACCAAATGAAGTGGATCAATGTTACCAACAATTTCTGAACTGTATCTATTGGATAAAGAAAGAAAATAGCAGCTTAGTAAAGAAAGAGAACCAAACAAGTCAAATGAAGGCATTCAAGATGCAGAACTATCACATAGAAAAGCAGGTGTTCAAGTTATTATGATCAATTTTTGTTCAGCACTGAGTGAACAATAACTGACATTTTTCATCAGTGCTGAGTGAAGAAGAATTGACAAAACAAGCAATAAGTTCCTATTAACCATCAATTTACCTTGTAGAAGCAACTAGTTCCAAAGGGGCATGTGCCATTTCCAAAATCAAAGTATCTGCAGTCAATTGACCTGCCGAAGGAAGCCAACTTAATTACAAGATCAAAAACTAGTACCAGATTGATGAGCTCCAAATTCTTGAAACCACCTCAATGTCTATTGATCCAGTACACAATAGTAATTACTAACAGCCAACCAAATGTCAGAATGTAGACAATTGAAAACCCAAACCAAGACAAAAGTAAAATTCAAAAGAACAAAAACATACTTACAGTGTTACAAATATACAAGTAAAATTAGAAATGTCAAGTTGTCAAAGTAATCACAAGATAACAAAATTGTAAATAAAGTACAATCATTGCATAAATAAGGGCAGAAGTGCTTGAGGTGATGACATAATAGGACCCTTTTCCCCCTCTACCAAAACGAAGAGTCTATGGTAAAAGCCTAAAACGGAGGTGGACAAACAAGAAAGGCCTAAAAGCATAACTAAAAACAAAAAGGGCAAATTTCTTAAACTACCCCTACTGTTTAGCTAATTGACAAACTGTAACCTTGTTGTTTAACTATTGTCTTAAATCATCCCTACTATTCCTGACAATTGACTAGCTCTACCCCTGCCGTTAGCATCTGTTAATGTTCCGTCAAAATCTGTACATGTGACATCACGTGACGTATAATTTTTTTTTAAAACCCAATATTACCCTCTTCGTCTTTATGGGAGAGGATGTCAGTGGGGTTTTGATCGGCAGATTGCTCGACTGGCTATCTGCTTCGACCAATAGTTGATTGAACTTGTGTTGAGAGAGAGAGAGAGATCAGCTTCGTTGGTTGTTACTAGTTGCTTTCAGAGATAAGAGAACACATTGCAGGACATTAACAGGTGCCTTGGTGTGGATCTAAATAGCTTGGTTTCTTCTAAGGAATAATTGTGCATTCAATTTCTTCTAAGGAAACATCTACACTTGTGCTTCAAAATCATTCAATTAWAATTTCTCTGGACCAACGCTTGTGAAAAATGAGAAAGCTAAGCTGAGCTGGGATATTGATTTGGTAGCAACCCTGTATATAAGATTTCCAATAGACCTGCTACAACCACTAGTAACTCCAGGAGCTGCTATGTAAAAAAAAACAACAGCTCAATGGTGTGTTCTATCCCAGCAGTGTTAAGGATCACAATTGTAATCAGAGGAGTTCATTCGTTGAAGAAARCTTTCTGTTGGCAACTGGGAAGAGGTCTTCGGTCGATGGTGCAAGGGGGAGCTTGTCCGAGAAGAATTTCCCTCGGAGAATCAGATCGGTGGGAACCTCTCTTTGGTCCTTCGTCGATCTCGATCCCACCCAATAAGTTGACGTGAAGATGTCGCTGCAGAGTTGTAGTGCATTGGATGGCAGTGGTGATGAATAAGGGATATGCATAGAGAGAGAGAGAGGTAAGAGAATGAGCAAAAGAGAGAGATTGGAAGCAAGCAAAAAAAAGTCACCACCGCTTAAGGTTGCAGCGGCGATGGCATTGACACAAAAAGAGACGGATGGGATAAAGAAGATGGAGGGAGAGAGAGAGAGAGAGGTGGCTGATCAAGGGAATACAGCTGCTGCCAGAAGTTTCAGTGGCTGCAATCGTAGAATGGGAGATACGTCAAAGGAGGAAGAGAAAAAAACAAGATAGAGAGAGAGAAAGAAAAAGAAAAAGAAAAAGAAAAAGGGAGAGAGAGAGAGAGAGAATGTGTGTGTGTGAGAGAGAATTAGAGAGAAAGGTAAGAAGCTCTCATCTTCTTCCTGACTCACTCGGCCGGCTGAGTATCTCTCAGATCTGCAAGGAGCCATTGATGAGAACAGGAGCCCAAACCCTGTGATGTTCAAGCTGAAATCGTGCCACATCTGATGAGGTTTTTCTCCCCCTCTTCTCCTCTCCATCATCTCTACACCCTGCTCATCGGCGCCACCATCCCTACTACTGCAAGCAGCATTGAAGAGAGAGCATTCGACTCTTCTGCAGTTTTTCTCTTTAACATAAGGGCAAAAGGGACATTTCATCCTCTCCATTACGATTTAACGACAATGGCAATTATCAGAAACAGTAGGGGTGGTTTAAGACAATAGTTAAACAGTAAGGGTAGTTTAGTATAGACTGAAGGATGGTGGGACCGTGGGAGTGTCCAAATTAGACTGGGGGTGTTAGTTTAGTAAATTCCTAAATTTTTTGAAAGGTGTTAGTTTAGTAAAATCCTAAATGCAGACCCAAAAGAAGAGTGTTGCTCTTTGGGCATTGAACAAATGAAAGCTTGGGTATCTGGTAGACATTGAAGCCATGCGAGGAGTCTTTCAATTTTGTCTCAAGAATAAGGTTTGATGTGAATCAAGTTCTTATAATGGGAATAGGCAATACAGAAGACCCTGGAGTTCCATGTTGATCAATGTTATCTGTCAGCAGGTTGTATTAGAAAAGATAGATGCTCAAAATTGGCCACGATCAATTGTTGCAAGGATTCCTCTTTTTGATGAATAACAGTAGAAATTTTTACTGCAGTATATTTTAGAAGTTCCCTACCAATACCATTGAATAGATGGGTATTCAGTGTACAAGAAACAGAAAACATGCTAGCCAGAAAAATATTTCCTTTTTTACAAATTACAATTCACCTCCAGGATCTGGTGTTCCCCATACAATATTCTTTCTTTATTTTTTTCTTTTATGAGCAGCTGTAATTCTTTATTCATTTGTTTTAARAGAACAATACATAGTATTGTGCTGAAAAACAACCAAAAAAAAACATTATTTAGTATAGTTTCACTAGCCACCCAACAAAATATTATACAAGCCCCATAACTCTCAATTAGCAGTTTGTTTAGCTAAACCCAAACAGCCAAATTGTTGGCAATCCTTGGTGTCCACTTGTAGTAGATTATTAACTCGTCTTTCAGTTGTTTTATCTCCTTTAAATACTTCTATAGATCCACAAACCAGTATCGCTCATATTAGAACCTTGTTCCCCATACATTGCCATTTATTGTGACTCTGGCTCAAGAGTCTTCCAAACTATTGGCCTCTCTAGGTATCCACCCGAACAAGCAGTTCAGGTCAGATGCAGAGACCTCACATCTCTAACCAGATATCTTAACATTTTCATCACCTCTTCTCCCAAGTCCATTCATTTTATGAGAGTCCACTTTCACTCGTATGTTCCYCCATCCTTCCATGCCAGTGTGCCTCAGACCTTGTACTAGTGCTACCAGCTCTACCCTCTTCACATATGGTGTATACAGATATTCAAAGCATTAAGTGATGTGCGGAGCCATTTTACGGCCCACTGTGGATGGTGAGAAGCGGCATGGGTTCTAAGAATGGTCCTTGGAGGATGAGAAACAACTCATTGGTAATCAACTGGTGTGTGATGAGTGTTGGCTATTTTTTCCYAGAGAAGAAAGGCAAGGTCTTTGGGCTGTCGCTACTGCTGTGGTGTSTGAGTGTGACGATGGGTATTGGAGATCTGTGTGGGGATTTCCTTGGAACAAAAGCCCAGTGGAGAAGCTTAAGACTTGTGAGGGGGCTCTATGAAGATGAGGGGAGGGGGAGTGATCCTGGAGAAAGCAGAGATAGTGGTAGGAGTTCGGATTCGACAGAAAAGGTGACTGACGATTGAAGTGGGGATAGGTGACCTAAGGGTTGGAGAAGAGAAAGGTGAGATGAGGGGAACTGTTGGATCAGAAGGTAGTAAGACGGTGATTACAGAGGAGGCAGAGAGTGGAGATTCTAGCGAGTTGACTGAGAGGAGGGAGGCGATCAACAAGCCAACCGTTGGGCGTTAGTGAGGCGAATCCTAGCGAAGTGAGGGCTGGTGAGGTTGCCGAGACACAATGTTAGAAACTCCATCATAGTCGTCCACTAAATTCCCCTATGGATGGTCAAATTGATTTGGCTCRATGGGCCATTTGGGTTTTTCAAAGGAAGCACTTAAAGAGGCTTCATATGAATATTTGAATTGAATGGGGTGTCAACTAGGATTAATTTAAGAGAGGAGGGTTTGGGAAGGGGGGGCAGCTGTAGACAGTCTGAAGGGGAATCTGCCCAAGTGGATCATTAGGAGATATTCAGTTGAGGTGGGTACTCGAGTACAAGAACTTCGAACCCCTTGTATCCTTGCTATGTTGGGGGGTCCGAACGGGGTCAAGGCCCAGGGCCTCTAGTGAGCAAAAGGGGGTAGGCCAAGTTGGCATCCATTTCTCGATTCTGAGTGGTCCGAACTAGTTGAGCCAGCCAAACCAAATTTTAAGAGAAGTGGGGGTGGGAGGTCGGGACTGGAGAAATTGGTGGAGGGTCCTAAAGTGAAGCAAGAAGAGGAAAGCTTATTGCAGATGACAAGTGATTAAGTGAACTGGAACTGACACCCTAAGTTGTAGTGCTTGAAGCCTACTCTCCATCTTTGCCATTTGTCCTTGTGGCTAAAGAGCTTGCTGAAGYTACTCCCTTGTCAATGGTTGAGAACCCTAAATCCTTGATACCGGGACAGTCAAGCAGTGTAGAGAAAGTGTGGATCAATTAAGCATTCTTGCTACAAAAGGGGTTAAATCTAGGGGAAAAGAAAGCTTGTTGTTGCTCAAACAAGTGTGGCARTTGGATTTTTGGGAGGTGCAAGTGGTAGAGGGGCTTCTTTGGACTCATCTCCTTCCTAGTTTATGTCTAAATTACTAGGGTTTTTCTGGGGGTGTCATTAGAAGGTATGGAGGAGATGATCAGATATCTAGAGGGGATAGAAAAGAGGTTTATGGTGAAAAGAGAGAAATGGAATGTTAAAAGATTCTTTGAAGAAGAATTGAGAAATGAAGAGGTTGTTGTGGCTTGTGGGGTCTAAATGACAAGGTTGGGAGTGGGGAAGGTTCATCGAGCGGAGAAGAAGGTGTAAGGAGCTTGTGGAGGGGAGGGGTTTTGAAAGTAAGAGGGGGTTTCCCAACTTCGGTTTTTTACGGAGTTAAAATTGTTGTCTTGGAATGTGAGGGGGTTGGGRCCAGGGAAGAGGCATTTGTTGGTGTATGATTTGCTTAAGAGGTGATTCAAAGTGATGTTACTTCAAGA